AGCAGGTCAGTTACCTAGGGGGAGGAGGGAAGTAGGGGGATGTGTTTCCTGGGAATCTCTAGACAAAATGACCTCAAATTTGCACTACAAGCTCCATCTGTGCCCTTTGTTGGCAGAGTGATTTTCACGCGAATATGTACGTGCATGTGGATTTTTGAACACTTTGTAAAACCCTTTATGATGAACCTTAACTATGGTGCAACAATGGTGCCACTCCATAATACCTTTAGTTATTTTGGGTCCTGATTATAATTAATTGAAGTCATTAGGAATCTGTCCACTGAATTCAGTGGTCCGTGGCTCATAAAGTTCTTCATAACTCAGTCATTACCTCAAAACACCTACGCAGTTTTGTTGCCTTTCTCAGAACTCCCTCAAAGTCACCGTTAGGTTTCTGTCATTGGCTTTTACATCCATGGGGAAAGAGGACAAGATTTTCCTCATATTGCAACCTCTCTTGATACTGCACACTGAAACTTCAGTGGGACTGCTTATGTCAGAAAGGTTTAGAAAAATTGGGCCTGCTCATAATTCCATTTTAACAGATTCAAATAGTTGTCTTGATTTATCCATAATATTGAAAAGGAAAAAGGAAAACTTTAAAAAGCTTTATGAGTAAATCTGAAATTTGTAAAGGATTCACTTTGCTTATTTTCTGGAGAAATCCATTCATTTTGAGCTTGATTTTTTTTCTTTAATTTTGTTTTTTGTTTCACCGCTACAAAATAGCCAAGAACTTGTATTCAGAATTGTATAGCTGTAAAAAGCTCATTATTATTATTATTATTCATTAGCAAAAAAGTCTATTTAATTTACATTCACTAATCTCCCACTCTAACACTCTCATATCTTTTGCCAGCTAAAAGGAAAAAATAGTTCATATTTTCTCTTAAGTTCAGCCCAAAGTTCATAAACTTAATTTCCATTAAGTGAAGTGATGGTTGGTTGAGGATGAAGGTGTCTTGGAAGTTACCACCATTGTCTGTGATTTTATAATTTTGTCTATATCACTTTCATTTATTAACATTTGTAATACATATAATTATTGCTTCATCTTTTCCTTGAAATGTTTGTATTTTATTCAGCAATAATTTGTATGGATTGCTTAAGTATGTGATTTGATATATTTAATGTAAAGTTTATAACGTTCAAATAAGGGTTTGCTTCAGAGAGCTGATTTTAATATACTGGGGTTTTTTTGGTAATACTGTATCAAATCAGATTTTATATATAAAAACTACATTAACTACAGAAACTACATTAAAAGAACACTCTTAAGGTTGCAAAATCAGGAACTCAAAAGTTGGGAAATGCCTTTATTTGAATACATGGCAGTATAGATTTTACTAACAGTGCACATGTACTGCACATGAGGCCGGATTTTTTGGCATGCAATGTCCATTGGGGATGCACATGCGAGCTTAGCCTCCACATTGTCCCACATGAGGACACAAAAGGTGGGGCAGCTGGGACCTCCCTTAGTTGTCTCTTACTGCCCATGGCAGTGAGACAGAACCTAGCTGGTCTGCAGGTTCGGCCAATTGCGGCTCCCACTGGCCGCGGTTCACCATCCCAGGCCAATGGAGGCTGCGGTGCAGGCCGAGGGATGTTTGGGCCGCTGCTTCCCGCAGCCCCCATTGGTCTGGAGCGGCTGAACCTGCGGACACGGCAGGTAAACAAACCTGCCCGGCCCGCCAGGGTGCTTACCCTGGAGAGCCGTGTGCCAAAGGTTGCCGATCCCTGCGCTAGATCTTTGTTCAAGCTAAACTTCTCCGATGTTTCTGAGAATCCTCAGAACAGCCTTGTATTCTTTAATTTAATCACCTAATCTGTTCTAGCACTTGATGGCTCAAACATTTCTGATCATATCCCTCCTTGTACAGGGGTATCCAGGCAATGTTCTTTTATTTTATTTTTTAATTCAAACTTGTTTAATCATCATTTGTTGTATTCACAACTGTATCAAACATTTGAATTGTGAAAATGACCTTAGCGTAAATTTATAATATGGCTCTAAACCAAATGGATGTTTTCCCATTTACTTAAAAGGCTTTCCACTATTTCTCTAACTGCTTGGAAGATATTCATTCATCATTTGTCATTAAGTACTTGATAAATGAAAGGACACAATAAAAGTGATCTCGTCTAAAGGTTTGAAAAATACTTAACATCAGCTACAGATCCATGATAAATTCATCCTAATTGAAGAAACACAATGCCTCCGATATAATAGTTTATATTACTGTTAAACTAGTGTAAAAACTTTCCCATTGAAAAATTTATTTTTAAGCATTCTAGAATTAGTTGTTTAAGTTTTCCACTGTGATTTAACTAATCTTTAAAACCAACATTTTTTAGAAGGTGGTTTTGTTTGTTTTCAAAGGCCACTGGAGGGTAGATATTTCTTAAACCTCCTTTAAGAAATAACAAAAACATGTAAAAATAAAATTGTGTGTGTTGAAATTTAGAGAGGCATTTTGAACTTAAAAGCAACACATTTGATTTTTTTTTTTTTACCTGCTATGGTAACAAGTAACTTCCTTATGATAACTATGATGGAAAGATGATAGAGAAACAAGTCGTGTTCTCTGTTTTTTCCCAATTTGTTTACTGTGTGTAGTCATCTTAACTGTTTCCCCAGTATAAGTGGTCATAATCAGTCCTCTTTTGTTTGTATGGGTCTTTCCCATATTAACTAGAGAGGGAGGTGGCGAAGGGAAGGAAAATAATTGTAAGACCACAAAAACTTCCACTGAAGCTCAGGGCAGATGTAGAATCTGAAAGTTTTTTTTAACTTTTAAGTTGACTAATTTTAAAGTTTATCATGAATCCTTTTAATCTTTCATAAAGGCATGCTATGTCTTTTTTTTACAAATTGTTATATGATGAAAGATTGAACTTGTCTACTGTAATATGCATTTTAATGAAATGTGTAATAGATGATTAGTAGAATGTTTCCAATACAAGTGTAAATGACAAATAGCCAGAACTTACAACTCCTTTCTAAGGGTTAACTCCTGATTCAGCTTAGCATAGCAAGGGAAGGAGGCAAACTGAAAGATGCCCTGCCCAGCAGGAGTCCTCTCCCAGAGAAGGCAAGTCTCTTTGTGATGGGTGCGGGAGCATGCTGTGCAGGGCACTTTGCTGGTATTCTGAGCAGGAACACAGCATACTCTGCCTATCACTGGCTCATGAAGGCATAATACTCCCCTGCTGGCTGGGAGGATGGTTGGACATTTCCCCATAATCTTGAAGATGAGTTTCAAGAGCTAGTGCATAAGAGTAAGACTTGTCTTTCTTGAGCACTATGAAGAGATCAGTATGCACATCTCACCACCCAACTTGCAGACCAATCCAGTTAAGACAGAATTTAGCCCTAAGTAAGTCATTGTTGTTTGTTCTCAATCGATATATCAATCCCAATTCATAACTGATATAACCAGATGCAGTTGCTATGGCCATCTGTTTTCCAAATTCAGCAGTGGCCTAAATGGTGGTGTGCCCACAAGTGTGGTGTAAGAAGGTTGGAAAGTGAGTGTAAGTGATATTATTGACACTGATTTGCCATTCAGTGGATGTGCAAACTAAGTGTAACTTACACAGGCAGAGTTGGAATGAGGGATAAGCAGAATTGCACTGAACAGGATGATATACAAAATATAAGAGAAGGCAGGGGTTGAGAGCACCTGCTTATTCATCCGTTTTCTTACACCCACCTCTTGTTAGCTCTTGTTACAAACTTCCCTTTCACCCCCTCAGCATGGAAGTTACACCTATTCAGACCTACTTACGCTCACACCAGATTAAACCACCATTTATATCACATCTAAATTAGATTCATTCTTACAATGACAAGGTGGGTGAAATAATACCTCACTCTTCTTGTCGCTCTATATCCTGTGACCAATACAGCTTCAATGATACTCATTCTGAGAATATCCTTTGATGTGATCAGGTAATTAGTGCACCTTATAACCTTCCAAAATTCCATGTAGGATTAATGTATAACCATAGTTTGCTCTCTAAGCCTTCTGTAATCACTTGATACTTTATGGAGAGCAATAGATCTAAAATACAATTGTGTCTCTACATTTCCATTGAGATCCTGTTCAGTAGTGCCTGGTACATCAGAAAACTTCTGTTTTAACCAGCAGCAAATTTCATTTGTTTCGTTAAAAGTAATATTGTCAGCTTAATCCATTAACTATAAATAGTGTTAATGTAGCACTGCTTTTTTGACTGCAGTCATAACAATTGAAAAAAAACTGTCTTTTATATATAATGATACTATAGGTACCTGTGTTACAATAATCCTTTAGAGACATGAGCTGAAATTCTGGCCCCAATTAAACCAATGGGAGTTTTGCCATGGACTTCAGTGGGGCCAGCAACCATGGTGTTTTTGTGTGTGTGGTTTTTTCCTACTCTTACTGATTTGAGACTCTTTGGACAATGGGCTTTTGCTGTTTGAACTTGTTAGGCAGAATGACCAATCACTGGCTTCCAGTTGTTTTCTTATTAATGAGCATCTGCATTCCCACTGCAGGTTCACTCCTGTGTTTTCTTCATTTGATCTTCTGACCGTGCTCCTAAAAGAGCAATATGTTGTCCAGATAGGCAGAAACCTGTTATGGCTCTGCCCAAATGACTCCTTCCCCACCCCAGCCCCCAAATTGTGCTTTCAGGGTAATGAAAAATCCAACTGAGGAAAATGTGTGAGTCTTGTTTTAGAGGCAGAGGTGCAGGGTAAGAAAAAAAATCTTGGACACCAGTGATTGGTATCTTTGCCTAGTAGTTCTGGGCAGCAAAAGGATATCCGCTGGCCTAAACTATCTAACATTTCATTACAGAAACCTGATCTGCAGGGATGGGAAATCTCTCTTTCTTTGGTTGGGGAACAGACTGTAAAAGCTATGGGCACTGGATTTTTTTAAATGCATATTTATGGTATTTTGTGATTTTTCTCTGAACTTTATACATTTTTCTTTTTTTCCTGACAGTTACTTCTTGCTTTTTATTGCTAAACAAATCTGGAGCTCTCTGTCACTTTGTGTGGAGTGGACATCACCTACAAAGCCTGTTGAATAGCGTGTTGGAAGTCCACCACCTTGGTGAGTGGAATCATAGTTACAATTTTATGTGTTGTTCTGATTCAGGTTGTGTTTGTATTGTTGACCAAAGTGCTTCCATGCAGGCTTTAAAAATGCCTTTCCAGATCTCTGCAGGAAAGTGCTTTTTGTGGAGAAAAGCAATTTGTCCTAGCATTTTCCTTTACAGAAATCTGCTTCAATCTCTTCCAGCCCAATTGAACCACTTCAGAATACTTTACAAAGAGAAGCCTGCCCTTTCTCTATCTGCCTGGATTTTGCTTTTGTTTGAGTTGCCTATCCTGAAAGAAAGACCTGTATCAAATAGGGGTTTTAGGAATTTGTTGTTGTTGTTAAAAGAAATTGTTCCTTGTTCAAGATGGACCATTTATTCAGAATCCTAGAGCAGTAAAAATTGTTTAGCCAGCCAAAGCAATTGGTTGACTGCATACTCCTAATGTTATAAATCTGCATATAATATAATATGCCCTGTGCAAAGGAAAGATAAACGAGGGGGAAAAAATCCTGTGAATTGTTGGTTCTTTCATGGTCCTCTAACTGCCAGCCAGAACGCTCACAAGACACCCTATAATTTAATTATGTTGTACATACCCTCTGGGAATTCATATAATTATATACTTTAGCACACTACCCTAGTGTGTCCAGTAGAGAAAAGCAAGCTGTCTTTTTTAGGAGCGGCTCAAGAGGAGAAAGGAAATATAACCCCTTGAGTTGATGATTCCCCTAGAAAAATTAAAACAAATTTAAAATGAAATAAATCATTCTGAGCTCTGCACCCTTCCATGGTTCTTAATTCTACTGTATACTAATTTCAAGCTAGATCTGGCAATCCTTATTCAAGCCAAATTGCCATTGAATTCAGTGCATGTTCTGATTAAATAAGGATGGATAGATTTGGCCCCTTTATTTAAAATATTTAATTGACTTTGGTTTAGTATTAAATTTCAGCTGTATAAATATCTTTCAAACCAGGCACTAGATACCTTTTGGGCCTGATTTTTAGAGGTGCTGAGCACCAGACTCCAGTTGAAGTCTCAGTGGACTGGAAAGGTTCAATGCTACTGAAAAATCAAGCCATTCATCGGCATTCTATTTGTTACAGTGGCTCATTTCCCACAAGCAATGCAACTTCTCGGCACTATGAACTGACAACTTCTTTCTTATTTCCTGGCTGAGTAACTTAATTTTCCTGCAATTTATTAGAGCATTAAGGTCACTGCTACGTAATTATGATATATCTTGTTCTGACTGCCTGAAGCTCCCAAATTTGCAACATTTATATTTGTGTTTATATAAAGATAGCTGAAAGTAAACTAAAAATATATATGTAAAACAAACTATTTTTAAAGAGAAGAAAATCTGGTATTTTGCAAATCTAAGTATTGTTGTGATAATTATTTATTATATTTATAAACACATCTGTCATCTTCATATCTAAACATATCTATTTGGTCATCCTAAGGGTCACAAAATGCTAAAAAAATTTGTTTGAGCTGAGGTTGACTTTAGTGCTCCACACTATTTAATAACCTTCTGCACCCTTGCATTGATATGAAGTAACCAAAAGTAGGTATAAGCTAAATAATGGAAGAGAGATTTTTCTACCAGGCAGGCTTGGAGATCCTTGCTCATAGGCAAAGGTTGTTTAATGGAAATGTTGACGGGTTAGCCCTCCTTGATGCTCAAGAGGAATAGAAAACACATAGATCTTCTCTATGAAATGTATAAGGATTTTTTCAGTGACAGTTTCCACTTTGCTCCGAAATCTAGTGGTAATGCTTCTCGAAACCATTTTGAGGCTTATTTCCTTGTAAGTTGCAAGAATGTTGCTGCCAATGACAGCTGGCCCTCATATTGGCCTGAATGTGTTTGCCCAGTTTCTGAGGGATCTCTTCAATCAGAGTTGCCAGTCACTCCAGCAATGCTTGGATTTAATTCCACCGTGTATTTTGTGTACAGAGAATATAGTTTTAAGCATCCCCTGGTATGTGTTTCCTGAGAAGGTGATGGAAATTTCATAATATTATCTTCTATTGTTCAGCTACAGTTTCAAGAACCCTTCCAATTAGATATCCAGCTTACTACTTGATTTCTATTGGGTCACTGTTGGTATTCCTGAATATTATTTCATCTCTTTATATCTGTGCCTTAAATTCACACTCAGTCCTCCAGTGGCTGCCCTAGCAGGCTGATTAAACACCAATCCTTTTGTCAAAATGCATGGACTTCATATTCCCCCATCCCTCCTCTGCTTTTGTTATCTTAAATCAGGACAGCATGTTTTTATCTGTTCTTTATATATTCCAGATGAGTCTCAACCTTATACCTGAGTTGTTCACATAGTTTCTTCCCAATTTCATGATATTCTCTCATGTTGCAGTTTTCAAGCTCCAGTTTTATCATCTAAATAGAGGTCTTTAGAAGGCCCTGTTTTTCCTTCCTTTCACTGCCATGTATCTTCTTCAGAGACACTTGTTATTGCCCACCATCTTTTCCTTGTTCTTACTGTCAGGGCTGGTCCCAAAAGTATATGACAGAAAGGAATAGGCTCTCTTAGTTTATGTCTAAAACCGCAGTTCTCTGGACCCTGCCATGTCTGCAATGTTTGTTATTCCACAATCCATCTACTTTTTATGTATTTTATTTTTTAATCAGTCGGACCTTCATATTTTCTGATTTATTCTGTGCTAAATGTTAAGTAAAGCATTCTGTAGGCACTTGACTTTAGTTCAATTACAACAGAATGATGTCAGTTGAGTTACACCATGATTGAATTTGGTAAGATATATATTTTAATTTATTTTACATGAAAAAGGAGCCCAATGCTCATTGTACTTGAAGACTTAGGGTTTGATTTTTCCACTGCTGTATATTTTGTGTAATATTTTTATTTGTGCAGAGTGAATGTAAGATTCTATCACTAAAATGAGTGGAGAACTCTGAAATGGATAGTGTTTTACATCCACTTTGTATAAGATGCACGTAGGTGTAGTATTGATTTAAAAATATATATTATTTGTTCTTACTTTTGTCATGGGTTTGTTTTTTGTTAGCTTTTTTGACATTTATCCCCTAAATAGCTAACATTAATCTTTCAAAAATGCAAACACTATACAATTTTTTTTAAAGATTTCTGTTAGTCGTCTTTTAAGAAATGATTTCATTTCTTTCAATTGATTTTTTGAATCTTTGTATTCTTGAGTATTTTTATCTATTTTTTGCTCTGAAACTGAAAAACAACAATTAGAAGCTACTAAAAAGCTATCAGCTCTCTGAGCACTGGAATCACAAAACCAATATAACTTCTCCTCATTGTCTATTTCTTCATTTACTATTTTAGCAGTAGTTGCAGGGAAAGTTCTGTTCTATGCAATAGTTAAAATTGTTAATTATAAAGTTGTCTAATGTTGTTTGAATATTATTCTCCCATGCATTTATCGCTTTTTCATGCAGCCAACCCTCCTGATAATTTCCAATATAAGTGCAAATGTATTTTGATGGAGTACTGAATAAATATAACATTGGCCTTAATAAAACAGCAACTTTCTAGCATCCATAGAGCAGGGCAGAAGAACAAGAATAAATATGCAGTTATAATGAGCCATGATGTGAATAATCTAGACCAATCTAGAATTAGGACAGCTATCCAGAGGGATTAGATATTTTGAAAATCATGGTTCCCTAAACTATATTTGAATGAATCAACTTATTTCTGTAAGTGTTAAAATTAAACGGATGGGACCTTAACTTTTGTACTTAAGTATCAGAGGGGTAGCCGTGTTAGTCTGGATCTGTAAAAAGCAACAGAGAGTCCTGTGGCACCTTTAAGACTAACAAATGTATTGGAGCATAAGCTTTCGTGGATGAATGCCCACTTCATCGACATGCATCCGACGAAGTGGGCATTCACCCACGAAAGCTTATGCTCCAATACATCTGTTAGTCTTAAAGGTGCCACAGGACTCTCTGTTGTTTTGTACTCAAGTCTTCTTTGATGTTGGTAATTTTGATGTTACTGGGAAGAATTGTGTTTCTCCTGCCAACTAATGTTGTCCCATCCGAACATAGCAGTCTGTGCATTCATAGACTTTGCTGAACTCTGCTAAATTGGCAGGAATAGGAGAAACCATTTTGCAACTGCATTTAGTAAGGTAGGGTCTGAATTGAAGGATGTGGATGAAACCCAACTGGTCTCATGTCCTACCTGGATAGCTAAGAGAGAGAATTATTTAAAAAAAAATGTTTCATAGGACTCCTAGAGATTTATGAAAGATTAAGAGAATTCAACCAGTACAATAGCTCGAGGGTGGGAAAGAAGAGGGCAGCCAAGTCTCCTAGCATCTTTCTGGACTTACTCCAGAAATCAGTTGTCCTAAGCATTTGAAAGCTCTGATGGAAAATGAAAAATATACAAAAGATATAAAGATTTTCAAATCAAATGTATTAGCATTTTAGCTGATAAAGGTCATCATAAGAAGTCATACAGGTATACTGGCATTCAACATGGAGAAAAATTGAATAGATTGTAGAAAAGTTTTAGAAAACTTTGGCTGATTGTTGTAGAAGGAACAAGGTTAAATGCTGGTTAAAAAAATGCAGATTGCACTTAACTTTTTCAACCAAGATTATTTTTAGAACTAGCACCAAAATTTCTACATTCTGTGCTGAAAATATTTATAATTCATATACTTTTCCTAGTCTTTAGTGAGACACAAACTATCTGTGCAAGAATGGCTGATGTATAAAGAGACAAGGTGGGTGAGATAATATCTTTTATGGGATTAATTACTTCACCCACTTTGTTTTCCTAATATCCTGGGACCAGCATGGGTACAACAGCATTGCATACAATGATGTATAAAGAGAGATTCCAAGCTCTTGATCTTTGAGTTATCTAACTAAATGTATCTTGTCCTATATGTCACAGTTGAAAAAAAAAAACCACCACTCATCCTTATAGTTCTATCTGT